ACTGGAATTGTAACAAATAAATAGTTATGTATGTAGGTAGCTAGGTAGATGATACGTTACTTACATACGTTCATATCTAGATAATAGGTGTATGTATAGGTGAGGACTGATTCATTCATTTATCTCTACTCTCGCCTATGATATGATATCGTGTGATAAGAGAGTGGAAACAGTGAACGAAAACAAAAACGCATTAAAGAGTCAGTCGGCAGCAATCCGAACATTTGAAAAAAAAAACCGAAATAACAAAATATGAATGAAAAGTGATATTTGTTTAGTGCTCTTAACTATATGAATATTGCTCTCTTTATGTTGTTCATACAACGGCCACATTCATAACAACAACAACAACAATAATAATCACAACAATAACATTATTTCAAACTAATAAATTCGAAATGCTGATTAATCATTTGCCTATCATCGACAACCGTCTACCATCGCTACTTCTCATCTATTCTTATCTCCTATTCACATTCTCATCGCATAATCACTTCTCTTTCTGTGGCACAACAGTTGCAGCTGGTCAGTGAGTTCATTTAACTTATCACTCATTTCTTTTTTTATCACTTTTCAATCGATAATCATGCTCGTTGATCAATAATCTTAACAGTAACAATATCGATAATATAATAATTATATGTTGATATTCTCATAAGATACGAAAATCGAGAATCCTTTTAGGAAAATTGAATTTTAATCAAAAGAAAGCTGCTGCTGCCTCATCGCCCACAATAGGAACTGAATCAGAATCAGAGTCTCAATCCGGTGTCAACGACAATGAAAATAAACCACCAAATCAACATATCTACGGAGGTAACTGACCATAAAACTATTTGTAAACTTCCGAATATCATTACGTGATCGGTAATAGTTCGAATAGATGACAGTCACCTATTCACCAACCCATGCTTAACGATATCGATCAGAGATTAACGCTTAACGTTTACAATATCGTTAGATTACATTGGTACACCAATCGGTTTCGAGCAAGATTTTCGCCGCGAGCAGCAATCGAATCCACCCACCACTTACCTATTACCTTTCCGGTGCCTGCCCTACCCGTGAGATATCGCCGAGAATGGCCATATGCTGAGTTTATAATCAATTAATTAATTAGTTCTTCACCGCACATAATGCGAAGTTGATGTGCTGAGCATTAAACGCAACTAAATTCACAAACCGGGTGGTGTACCAAGTACCAATCAATTTCATTGACATTACTAAGCTTAAGCCAGGCTTAAATTTGATTTATATCCCTAATTACCTAATCATGTCATCCAATATTGATAATATAACGATGGCAATTGATATTTCAGAAGAGAATTGCAAATCTGAGAAGTTGAAAGAGCTGATATTGGAGACGATAGGATTATTTCCGCACCAATACAGCTATCAAGCGAGATATATGAAAGAACAAGCCGAGAGTCGATTTGGATATTGGTGGAGTGCGGTGATTATTAGCGAGAAAGGCGGCTATGGCATGAGTGCCGTCTACGATCAGTATAGCAACACTACGTCAGTTCATTACTGCTTTTATTCAAATTGCTTACTGCCACAAAAAGAAACTCTCAGCAAAATCCGCCACATTGCACTCCTGTCTTTACAAGATTCATTTTTTCGACTCTCGTATAATTTTCCGGCCTGATGACATTTCACTAAATAAGGTAGCATTTNGTATTTTCAGATGTGAGCTCAGGATCTTTGATACGTTCTATTGGTTGGGAAGAACGAGTTAACCTAGTGCTTCAACATTTGTTCTTTGCTAAATGTGTTCGAAGAAGCGAACAGATGAAAGCGTATGAACCATGAAAAACGAGAGATTGAAAATTGAAAACTATTGGATCATAATGAAAAAACATTCAATCAATCATAACGAGTTTTGTGTATTTCGTGCATAGATTATGTCACTTCAGCAGTGCATGTAGATTCTGTGATGAATAAATGTGTTTCTCCCCCCAAAAAACTATGAATCGTCTGATGACAACTGAATAAATTATATAAAGTACGCGAATCGTATCGAAGCAAATTGAAAAAATCAAATCATCCATGAATAAATACACTGAATGAGCATTCCAACAACAAATTCGAATAAAACCAACCAGACAGTGAGACGAGTCCATATGGTTGTGGTGTACTCCTAAAGAATCGATTGGCAAAATCCGGCGAATCAAGTGTTAAATAAACGACATTCCCTAAAAAGAAACCAGCTGTTTGACCGACTGCATTGCAAGTCGATGCATATCCTACGTTCTTCCTGAAATCACATCATCATCTCTATGTTACTTACTTACATAGCATATCTTTTTTTTTGTTATCACCATCATCTTACCAAGTTACGGAAATCACTTTCTAATCCTGTTGTGACTCACTTATTGACGGATAAAGATAAACACTGCAAAAGTTAATGAAAAATCGATTCATGCGCAGAGCAGTCAGGGCGTATGCGGAGTGTTGGTTAATGTAACATTTTGGTTGGTGAACGTTGGTTAGTGGAGGTTGATAAACATAAATTGATAAACGTAACGATTCCGCAAAATCACGCGATGGTTTGGCAAGTGTAACACATTTAATTCGGACTTAAACCTCCGTATTTTTTGGAACTTTTCTTTGAGGCAAATCAACATTTCCCTGCATCAATACGGCAAATTCAATTGAAATGATAATACGAAAGATAACAGATAACAAAAAAATGAAGATAACACGTGAGCAAATTCAATTTCTGGGCAAATTACCTGGACANAAATTGAGTGGTAGAAATACAAACATCAAAAACAATACATTTGGTGCTTTACCGGCTGCAAAGTGAACATTGAACAACTCCGAATGAATTCGAAATTCATAATGAAAAATACTGGACATAATGAAAATTCACAGTGAAAGTAGTAATGTGTTGTCGAATAATTGAATAACGAAGATATGATCACCGAGAAACGATTTCAAATGTATAATGAATAAATAAAAACAAATGAAAACATTGTGAATAACCTTGAGATCCGTTCTCGCCCATGATATCGGACACTTTATACGATAAAACCAACATGAATATACCGATCAGGTACTGACACGGCACCATCCACGATTTTCGACGTCCCAATCGCCTCCAATAAACCGAATCCACAATCGGTGCCCATAATAACTTTAAGCTTAAAACAAATTTGAGTTGCTTTACGAAACACTCGAAAAGTTAAGGTAAATGTCTGATAATTTGATAATGATGGTTTTAACTTTGATAAAGATGGTAAATGTCAATTTGATAATGGT